TGTGCAAAATTTTATCATATTTTGAATGATATATAACAATATATATGTATTCAAAAAAGTAAAAAAACTTCCAAAAACTCTGTACGAAAAAAAAAAAATTTTTAGCAACTTATTGATTTTTTAAAATTTATTTTAATCCAACCAGACAATATTTGAAAAACACTATGTTATGTAGATTTTTATCATATTTTCAATGATATATAACAACATATGTGTATCCAAACACAAACTTTGTGAAATTTCCAAAAATATAAAAAAATGTCCTAAAATTTATGAACTATCCAAATTTTTTTATCAATCGACGGATTTTTTAAAAATTGCATATAAGTTGTTCATAAAATACGCTCGTCGCCCAATTTAAAAAGCATTTAAAAGTTTACAGTATGTAATAATAATCTATTTGAAATTATTCAAAACAATTATTAATTATTTTCATTTTTCAAATTTTTAATCACGGTACGGGAAGTTCCAGCAATTTGCCTTAAGGCACGATGCCATGCGCTCCACTAGTATGAATATGTTAACGAGTGCATATAAATTTTTCTAAAAAAAATGACTCCGAGTATTAATTAATTAATATTGATTAAATAACTTAATAATTTATTAACTTTCCGTAGGGTAAGTTATAGACTACAGTAATAGCAAAAAAATCGAAAGTGAAAATTTTTATATATCTTTACGTTTCATAGGTTTCTGAATTTTGGCATACCTTATAAAAAAATGGATGTTTTTAGGTACAAACTTTCGTCGATAATTGTAGCAACACGCATCAACCGATTTGAACGATTCGATTCGTACTGATAAGAGGTGCTAATTAGTTTTTGGTAATAGCAGGTTAAGCCGTTTCAAACATACTGGACGAAAAAGCTAACGATTGTAATTTAGTTATTGAGAAAACGAAGCATTCGATTTAAATAATTCAATTCAATTCATTGTATTGACTAAACGAACACTGTTTTTGGGAAGACAGGTCTAGCGTTTACAGAGATTCGATAAGAAAAGGTAAAAAAACGACATTTGGCGGTTCCAAATGATCATTAGATATTGTAGATATGCACGTCAAATTATCTGATATTTTCTAGAGATTTTAATGATGAGAATAAATTTAATTTGCATTTCTATGGGTTCCGTATCAATGTCTATCAACGCGACGCTTACGCGCTTCGATATTTCGTCTCCAAAACAGCTACGCAGCGCGATTGATTTGACAAAAAGTTACAAATTTTCAAAAAAGATCAAAATATGAAAAAGCAGATTTTTCAAAAAAGTCAATTTTTTCCTAAATTTTCAAAATTATCAAAAATATTTTTTTTTTCAAAGTTTTCAAAAAAAATTTAATCTTTTTTAAAAATTTTATGTTTCGGTACGGGAAGTTCCAGCAATTTGCCTTAATGCACGATGCCATGTACCACTAGTTTATTTATATTAATTTATAAAAACCACTATTTGTAATTGATAGGGCGGCAATGTGGAGATCGCCCCGGGCGGCAAAAGTTCTAGGTACGCCACTGCCTAAACCACATTTAGAGTAAGGACATTCTGAGATGCTAATTTTTAAGAAGGCATTTCACAATTAAAGCTTTTGGTCCTCTTTGGGACATCAGCATATGAAGCATGAGCTCAAAGAAAACAAGTCATACATCGTAACCAACTTTCGACGGGCTCAGAACGGAAAAGAATATCTTTGCAAAAAATGCAAAGATCTTTTTTTACCGGTGGTTCATTTGGTATGCTTTTGGCCGAGAATGAACTTTGTAGTGCTTGCGAAATAGTACTATGTCATTTTGTCCAGTATATAAGTATGTCATTTTTGTCACCTTATAATTGCAATAAAATTGATCGAAATCACTAGTACTGGTGTAAGTTCATTAATTTCAATAAAGATAATTACAAACAACAATAAATAAGGCGACAAACCATGAGAATTACTGCCTCAAAATAAACTTTTAAAAGCGCGATATACTTACTCTGAGAAGACTGTAAAGCTCAATATTTGTAAGGATTATGACTACAACATTCTTTATTTTATACAGTCGCGGAAACGTTATTAAAACTAGCCAATTTTTAATTAAGGACAGAGTGTCATTTTATCCATTTCCCCTACAGTTCATTTTTGAGTATCTTATTTTTTTTATCATATTATATTTAACTTCCTGTAGGGTAGGGTTTGAAGGTTTCTAAACATTTTGGCATACCTCAGAAAAAATGGATGTGTGTGTGTGTTTGTGTTTTATGTGTTCGCATTTTTTTGTGTGTGAGTGTGTATGTATGTATGGATACAATATTTCGTCCACGTTTTCGGGCGCAGCGATCAACTGATTTGAATGGTTCAAAAAACATTCGATTCCTATTGATAGGGAGATGTACTGATTAGTTTTTGACAAAGGCAGGTCCAGCCGTTACGAAGATACGGAGCAAAGAGTGCAGAATATAAAAATCGAGATTTTGAGAGAACGAAGTATCCGATTTGAATGATCCAAAAAACATTCAATTAATGATTGGGAGAAGTTGTGTTTAGTTTATGGCAAAGGAGGGTCCAATCGTTTTGGAGATACCGAGCTAATTATGCAAAAAATGGCAGAGAGAACTAAGCATCCAATTTGAATGATTCAAAAAACTTTCTGCTTGTTTTGACAAAATAATTGCTTTTGTAAAAAAAAAAAATTAAGAAAATGTTAAAAATATTTTTTTAATTTTTTTGTATATTGAAAATAATTCAGATTTTAATTTTAATTCTGGCTAAAGTTCTAAAGTTCACTTATATATTTTAAATAAATAATTTTAACTTTGCAGTACAGTTTATGTAATTCTTATAAATACTACACAATGTTACAGTCAGTTACAGTATTTATAATAATCTATTTGAAAACATTTAATATTTATTGAACATTTCGTTACGGTACAAGAAGTTCTAGCAATTTGCCTCAAGGCACGATGCCATACACAACTAGTTTATAATTTATTGCACAGCTAGAATAATTCATTTTTTGATATTATAGTTTTTTATAGTCAAAAATTGTTCAAAATCGAAAATGAAAATTTCTGTATTTCTCGACGTTTGGAAGGTTTCTGAACATTTTGGCATATCTCAAAAAAAATGGATGTGTGTGTGTCCGCATTTTTTCGTCCACGTTTTCGGGTACACGGATCAACCGATTTGAATGGTTGAAAAAACATTCGATTCCTATTGATAGGGAGATGTGCTGATAAGTTTTT